AGTTTTATACAGTTGACTCCACTATTATTTTCCTTTTTTACATAAAAGTGTAAATTTCCTCATTTAAATTCATTTAAAACTTATTTTGTGTAAATACTAATTTCTCTCATATGTTTCAATATTTATTTTTATTAGACCATTTGAATAGAGTTCATTATCAATTTACAACTTTCCATTAAAGCCAATAAAATTTTAATTAAAAATTTTTTGTTTCTACACAGAAATGATAAAGAGCATAATTTTGAAAGCAATTAAAACGGTTGAATTCCACCATCAGATAAACTTAAATTTAATTTAGTAACAATAAACAGCAGCATTTGCTAGAATAGCACAAACCCACAATTGCATTGTAGGAAGGATTGTACTAAATGTTAAACTAGACGCCACTTAGGCCACTTAGGTTAGGCACGTATAAGCCATAGTGAACGAAAACACAACAACAGCTTAATTAGCACAACTTTGAATCTCAAACGCAAGAAACCAGCAGTATAACTGACCATAACTGCGATGCATTTAAGCAAAAAGTTTAAGCGTAGCAAAAAAGGCTTACATAGACTCTAGGGTATAACCAGGCAATAATGTGTGAGAACGCAAAAATACACCATCGAGCCGTACAATAATTTATATAAAACTTAGCCGACATTGCTGTTGCCGCAGGCCAGAGCAGTAAAAAGGATTTATACATTTGACTTACTGGTGTGAAAACAGTTTAGAGCTACTTAGAGCCAGCTTATATCATTATACTTAATTAAGCTGTGATGCTGTTGCAGAGAACAACGAATTATTAACTAAGCTGTAGATTTATTAAATTTGTTACCAAAAATGATAAATCATTTGTGTGGACTTGTTGATGACTTGACAATGCTGAGTAAAGCAAAATTTTAACATTAAAAACTCAGACATTTTGCTCCTTATTTTTTGCCTTATCATTTAATTTTCACTTAATGGCCATTATGCAAATTGAATATGAGCCAATGAGAACCGACCCATAGCAACGCAACACAAACAGCTACGAAATGTATACTTGGCGAATTTACTTTTGCGCAAAAATTACAAAAGGAAGTATGATAGTCCCTTGGCGATAACAATAATTCACAGATTTAATTTATAAATCTTTCGTTGTCCAACAGAAATTAAAAAGCAATCGTTGATATCGTTGATAAAATGGTGGTTGGCATAAGGCAATAAAAGTGAAATAACAAGCAAGTCGTTTTCGTACGGAATACGCGCCTAAAAGGCGACAACAAGAAATTTTTATTACATGCAGATTAACTTTATGTTGCCAAGGAGCCTTCTGTCGTCGTTATGTGTTACGGATAAGGACTACAAAAGTACATGAATATTAATTTTTACTATTTTGCACAAATGTATGATCACATAAATCAAGAAAAAAATCTTTATGTTCGCCAAACGTATATAAAAATACATAAACTGAGTATTATGTCTTTCTATGTACATATCATATATTTTATAATATAAAAGCTTAAAGTCATATACGTTAAAGAAATAAATAAAATACATAAATAAATAAAATACATGAATAAATATAACTTTTATCAAGAAAAAAGTTACAAAATTAGTTTTGTTTCTCATTTTTTAAAATATAAACTATAAATTATAATACGCCACGGCGGTGTTAAATCATTGAAATATTTAATATAACATCATCTGTTTTCCACTTTTAAATAAATAAAATTCATGTTAATAATCGAACATCCTTTATGTAATACGTTGTAAAAAAATTTATATATTTTATCCTAATAAACTTTTACGTTCAACTCTCATAAAATCATTAGACGTGGATATGTCATTAAACTGACCACACGAACAGAAAACTTTGAAATGTTGTTGTGAAGACAATACGAAAAGGATGTAAGTTACTCTATACATATGATATGGGTTGCTTGCAATTAAAAAAAAAACATAGCAACTAGTTTGTTTGTTTCGTCAACTATTATCACTGTCTTATAGGCAGAACTTGTAACCGAATAGGGCTTACTTTCAAGGAGAGAAGAAGTTTTGTATCAGAGAAGAAGAAGAAAATGTACAGAAGGTATATTGTCCATTCCAGAATCTCTCTTTTCTATGGGTCTGTCCCATATCACTAGTGTAGGCATAAAACACATTGCCAATTTTATACAAAAAATACATTCGTTTCTTTGTGGAAATTAGGATATCATTGATTCAAGTTAAAACTGAGAGAGTCTTTTCATAGTCTAAGTAAATAGTCATTTTTACGAGACTGACATCTGCCACTTGTGCCTTCTGTTTACCACTAAGCTGAGTGTTATGAGAAATATTGTAGTTTGAAACAGGTTTTTTTAAATACTCTTATAAAGTTTATTAAAAAAACAATACTAATATTCAAACATTATTCTTAATTTGTCATATCTCGTCACAAACTGTTACAATGATAATTTAATTAATGCGCTCATCCTACAATAACCCTTATCTTTTATTCCGGAAATATTAGAATATTCTAGATTGGAGCCAAGAAAAGTGAAGTCCACAATTTGTGATATAGTCAAGTCCTGTATTTGTGATATATTGCATCATACTGATATTGCATAAAATATTTCTATCAAAAATATGAAAATGACATTTATGAGTACAAAAATTTACTTAAATTTATTGTGTGCAAATCAATAGTTTGTTTTATTATAGTTAGTATAAAGTAAAAGTCAAAGTTCAAAATATATACACAAGTACGTATATTTCATAAGTACATATTATATATGTGATATGCATGACGACTAATGATCTGATGACCTTTTTTAATCAATCCAAGTCAGTTCAAACAAGAATATGATTCTTAAGCAAATGACACATGCCATTATGAATCTGACATTGACATGTCATGGGTAAACAGTAAATAGTTATAATTATTCAATTAAAATGAAATTTGACATGGAAGTGTTAGGATTTGAAGTATTGGTAAAGACATATTAAATTAATTAAATTATATATATGTTATCATATACTTCATGAAAAAAATTGAATTTTTAATAATATACAATATAGTATTGTACTAATATAATAAACCATTATATCAAGATCAAATCAATAATCAAATGTTATTGCCTTAAATTAATAATTAAATTATTTTCTTAAAATTATTAAAAAAAACATCTTAAATTTGTTATTACTATTGTATGAGTAATTTGAATTAAAAAAAATTGCAAAGAATATTAAGTTTATTTGATTGTTATCAAACTTCTTAAGAAATATGCAGTACCTTAATAAGCTGGTTTAATTTAAATGTACTTATTAATTAAAATCAATAAAATTCAAATAAATATAAGTTACTTATATACTTTCTCCTTGCGTGTTGTAATCTGCAAATTACTTTTAAGGATCTGGGAGTTGTGAATGTTATTGCATTTTTAACTCCCCTCACCCACTTGCACTGCAGTCAATGCAACACAAGTATTAATGGTAAAGACCATTATATATATTTTTACTGAAACTTCTCTAATTTCTTGACGGTCTGAGTAATTGACATTTACGTACCTGTTAACATGCTTAATTATTTTTTACAGTGCATTACACAAACTTTCTCTATAAAAAGCATTCTAGGTTACATTGAAACAGTATTAAAACCTCAGAGAAAATTGCATAAATGTAGTTTAAAGGAATATATAGCTGCAATGCTATGTAACCAAGCTGTAATTATGGTGTAAATGAAATTGCATAAAACCTTATTTAAACATAGGTAAAAATTTTTATAAATAAATTACTATTAAAAGCTAAAATTTATATTTAATCTCTATGCGGACCTTTCTTACGGAATGTACATAGTATATTATTTCTGAATTACATATATACGACAATCATAAGCTGGGAAATCCGTGAGTACCATATAACTGAAAAAATTGTAGTTGAAATTAAAATTTTAATTAATATCTTATAATACAGAGTTTATGTTTATCTATTTAATAAATTTGGAAACTAACATGTATTATTTCATATCAAAAATTATTGTATTCTTAAACATTAGTTGCTAGTAATGATGTTATAATTATATTAAGACAAAAAGATGCATTTTATCTTTTTCTATACTCATTTTGTCGTTATTCTATTGTAAAAATCGACATAAATTTGAGCATATAATATATATAGCGATTTTCATACATAACATAAATTGATTAAGCTCGGCTTTTCGAAATAATAACAAACTTGCTACCATATCGACCATTTCATAAACGAGAATACGAGGCCCACTATTTATATTTTGAGCCTTGGTAACACTGATTGTTATCAGGTGTCATCTGACGTTTCCATATGAAAGCTTGACATTATTACACATAACCTACCGATAAAGCTCCATCCTTAGCCTCTGTGAAACGCTGGTACAATGATTTTAATCGTGGCCGCAGTTCGCTCACTGATGAAATTCACGAATTTCAGTGAAATCAGTTTTTGTTCTCTGTTCCCGATTCCCTGTGAGATTGAGGGAACCTTAGGCTTTAGTTTAACCAGCATATATAAAATATTGCGCTAGCATTTAACTGTGAGAAAGGTTTGCTCTTGTTGGAATCAACATAATTTGACAAAATCTTAAAAAGATGCTCGTATCGTTTGGTGCACAAATGCTCAAGAAGTACGAGAACAATGACGGTGTTTTAAAATACGTATATAAGATTGTGATAGGTACAGAGATATTTAGGTTACCATGATTTGAAAGTGCATTAATTTTGATATTATAATTAAGTGTGCATTGTAAAATATTATATTAATTTGAAAATTTATTTAATATAAAAGAAAAACATAGAATGCCTTGTTTTAAATAAATTGTCGAAATATTAAATTATTTTGCTCAATATATGTATATGTTTTTGAAAAAGTGAGTTTCAAAAAGGGAATAGATTAAAAAAAAAATAAATTAAAATCATTCGCATATTTTGACATCCATTTATCTGTGCGTTTTCAAAACGGCGTCATCGTCAAACTTAGAATTTCAAGAAAGTATAAAATTTTAGAAAATTCAATAAAGTACCAATATGGACGATATGTTTGAATTATCTGAAGATAACCAAATTCACTTGTCTAATTTGAGATCGAAAATCATTCGAGAAATTAATACTGCTTTGCTTAAAGTAAGTCGAAAAATTTATAATTGAATGGGTTCATAATTTTAATGTAATCCATTTTATAAATGTGTTACAATAATTAGATATGAAGAAGTTCCACTTTAATGAAACAAAAACAAAAATTTTATTAGTTTCAACAAAATATCGTCTTTGATAACGACTTTTGCTTTATAGGATACACAACAAGCGTTACGTGATACGAAAAAAGCAGAATTAGAATTGTTTTCTTCTAATACTCAGCAATTTGGGATTGAAGAGTTTGCTACAAGGAAAGATGCGCTATATCCTAAAACTCTTAAAGATGACAGTAAGCAAATATTTTAATTACTTTATTCATTCCTAAAGGCCCCATTTATGTAATAAATACATATTTCTATTGCATTAAGATTTACAGTATAATGACTCCCCACTGGCACATACTACAGCTCGAAAGCCACAATGTCTTGATAACGAAGGCGGACAATTTCAGTTTGATTATGCAACTTTGGACAACATACAGAGACAATTGTGGGAAATGAGAATGAAAAAGTCTGTCACTAATAGGGCACGTCACGGTGCATGTTCTCAAGAATGTGATTTGAAAGAGCCCATCCATCCCACTTATACGGAAAAGCAATACGTGGACATTATGAATCAAATATATTTGCATAATTTAAAAAACGCTTCCGAGAAAAAAACTCTTAATTTAGACAAGAAATATATGAAAACCTTTACAGGATACATAACAAACTTTAACACAAATGAAAAGAATGAAATATTGTCTATGTCTTTGCAGACAGAACATAATGAAATGGTATCCTTTGAAGCAAATGCTACTCAGAATACAACTCCAAATGACTACATTATTATACTGAGCAAAGTTGAAGAAATTCAGAATAATGACAGTGCAAGTAAACTAAATACATTATATGTAAATAAAAAATTTATAGAACCGCAAAATATATTTGATTCGGAAACAGACATTAGTCTTAGAAACGATAGTAGTTACGAGGATATGATTGATGGAAATAAAGTTATAAATAACGCACATTATCCAAATTACACACTCACGAACTTATCTCAAAACCAATGTGTGAATCAGAATCTGATGGAAGCTGAGAATATTGAGAAAAATACAATTCCTCATGAATATTGCTCTGATATGGATAGCGACTGGTTAATTGATTTCAGCGATACTATTCTTACCAACAGTGACGGCGTTGAAAATTCTTCTTCCGGCATTGAATGCTCAAATAAAAACGATAGAGAGCAAGACTTAACTATTTCCAATTATAAAAATGAAACTGAAGTAGAATATGAAGCAAAAAAGAAGAATGAAAAAAATGTTGTAGGAAAGGAAGACAAAAACAATGCGCAGGAATCAAATAACACAACAGTAGTACAGAATTGCGGCAGTACAGAGACCCCTAAATTCGAAAAAAGTACCGTTAAAAACAAACTACAAATAACACCGCGTTGTAAAAATTATTTAAGTCAAAATAACAAAAATGATACCCTGGCATCGAACAGAGTAAAAGCAAATAAGTTTACTAAAGATGGAAGTCAATCAAAGCAGGGCGAACTGAACAGTTTAAAGACTGTTATCCCACGTTATCCCAATTATCTTCGACATTATAATGACCCCAATTTTCTAGTCAATAAGAAAGTTGCAAAATCTCATGATCAAGTCCCTGATGAAATCATCAAGCATCCTCGATATCCAAATTACCTAAAGGGTCACAATGTAACCAAAGTTAATGTGAATAACCAAATCAAAAAAACAGTGAAGAGCAATGTTGCATCTAGTATGGTTTTGCCCACCAACTTTAAAAAGATAAAACAGAAAGCCAATTTAGCTATGAGAAAATCTTATACAGATAATCCAATTATTCCTCGTTCTAATAAAATTCCTCAAATAAAAGAAGACAATGCAAAAGGAATGGTTTCTAATGTTAAGAAAATTATTTTAAAGCATACGTCTAAATCAGAAAATACAAAGTCTTCAGTAAAATCTGTAATTTTCTGCAGACCTGATGCCAAAGATTTAAACACATCTAAGCAAGATGAGATCAGAAATTTTACTGCTAATAACATCTGTGTGCAGTTGGAGACGATCGATAAAGTTAATGCTACAGAAAATGATGAAGCGAGTGAAGAGATTGCAGCCAAACTGGTGTCAAATGGCTTAAAAAAGTGTGGGGAAATGCCGAAAGTGGAAAATGTGGCAGCATGTAAAGAGATTGAATCTGATGAAAGTTATGAACAGAGTGAAAAGATTAAAACTGAACTGGACTGCAATGAATTAAAGGGGTGTGAAGAAATATCGCAGGTGAAAAATACGGTAGGGTATAAAGAGCTTAAATCTGATGAAAAGTGTGAACAGAATGTAGTGCAACTAGTTTCAAATGGCTTAAAGAATAATACACAGATACC